TTTTTTTCGGGGATCATATTAATATTAGATTAACACTTTGTGAAAACATTTATTTGAGATAATAAAATAGCAGTTATTCAAATTTTAGTTATTATTAACTTTTAGTTGGCAGTATAATGAGTGTATGGAACCCAGAGGAATTTTATCATGATTATGCGTCTGTTGTTCCCTAAGGAGGAGACAGCCTTGACATCCCAAAATGTCTGGACCTGAATGTGTTTGAAGCAGACACTGAGGAATTTCCCAGGCTGTTTGAACCTAAGCCCTTCCCCTGTCTCAGCCCTGCAGATGTCCGTGACAGTGAGTGGCTCATAGTTTTGTTCAGTTACTCCTTCAGGAACATGTTCCGGTAATACTATTTCAGTTTGTCATTTCATTTTTATTCTCTTTTTAGCCATATGAATAATCATATCTGTCTTTGGTATGAGGCTAAAATCTGTCAGAAACACAGAACATTTTCTCATTGTGAAATCTCTTGTGTAGCGTGTGAGTGTTCCATGTTCTGCCTGATGTTCCTGCTTTGGCTTTCTGATGATGTGTGTAGCTTGCATCTCAGCACAGCTCTTGGCGACTCTGTTTACCTTTCTGAACATGGCGCTTCTGGCCCTTCCCAGAATGCCCGGCGGCCCCAGAGACCTGTGCCATACCGTCCGACAGTCACTGTTCAGCAAGGCACTCCCCGGCCAAAAGACCCCGGGTGTCTCCCGAGGTCGACGGCACCTCTGGCAGCATGGCGGCGGAGGCTAAGGAGGTCGGGGGTTTCACTTTTCTTAACCCCTATAGACACAAACACATGCACAACTCGGGAAGACCTCTCCAGTTCATAATCATTATCGCTCAGTTGATCGTTTCTCATAGTATCAGCCAATCGTAAACCAGCAATGACATAACCAGATGATTTAATTGGTTGATTCTGACCAGCCTATTTCCTCATTACTACCAAAGTTAAGTTAACGCTACATTAATTAAACATGTATTCACCTGTTTGCCCGTTCGTCGGCTGCACAGGTGTCATTCGTTACGTGTTCGGAGGTATTCTCTCTCCCGCAAGTGCTCACCTGTCTAATCGTGAGTCAGAATCCCATACCAAGAATACTCTGCATTTTTTACTACCAAGTTCAGTGAATTAGACCAATATCGCTGTCAGGTTTACTCTGATCAGAAGCCTAAATTCCTGCCTGCAAGGCCAAACCGATAGGAACACTGGCATGATGGAGAATTTCCCAATAAACTCCGGCCTCTGGCATTGCCAGTTAGAATATCTGTATTATAATATAGTCAAGATGTATGTTAGGTTTAATTTAATTGGCCAGGAGCGGAGGAACACTTAAAGCTCCATAATCTTTCTTTTTTGACAAGATGCGGACTGCGGGTGGTCACAGAAATGTGCTCGACAAGAAGTGTCTCATATGGAGTTCAGCATCGTTCTTGCTTAGGAGTCACTAAGTCAAAGTGCTGGCATAATCTGTCCTTGTGAATCTAGCAAATCCTTGGCCAGTTCACAGAGGAAACTGATGCCCTCTAGAAGAACAGGGTACAGACTGTTAAAAAACCTGAACGCCTGTCAGTGAAGGAGGCATTTGGGAGCCGTGTGCAGCTCCATCTGGATCCGGGCCGCGCGGTACCAGGGAGGCGCACCCCCACCCCGAGGCGGTTTGATACGTGCTGTGAGGGGTCAGCGCTCCGGAGCCATGGGGGAGAACCTTGCACTGATGTTCAAAGCGCAGCAAAGGAGGGATTTCCTGAGCAAGCAGACAATGTCTCCTCAGCATCTGTCACAGGATGATAGCGTGCTGGCAAAGTCTGATATAGGCTGGCAGCGCGTTGGCACAGACGGCAACGAGAAAGGGAAGCACTGGTTCATTTTTTGTTTTAGCTGTTAGGAACTGTATAAATATAACAATACGTTTTAGGGTCCTGTGACCCTGATCAAGATAAGTGATTGGAAGATGGATGGATGGAACTATTAGTGTACTAAGGACTAGAAAAAGACACTGTGATCTGTGTAAGTGACTTAGGGCCACAGCAGGACTGTGATCTTGACCCTGTACAGTATTCAGACATTAAAATATTTGAAATAATATTGTGAGATTACTGTGAGCAGTCATGCTCGGCATGTCATGACCACTGGTTGTGGCCGGACTTCTCGTTAGTTGGTGCAGGCGATTCTGGCCAGGAGGCCCGGCGGGGATCGGGTCATACAGGAATATCGGGCCAAGGGAACGCTGACGGACACCACCAGAAGGCACCTCATCAATCTGCTGGTGGCCCACATGACGGAGACTCAGGGGTATGTGCCCAGTGGTCCTCTTTGGTGAATACTGTACTGTGCTGTACTATACTATACTATACTATACTATACTATTCTACACTGTTCTATGCTATGCTACGCCACACTATCACATTACTTCACTATTATTACTCCATGAAGACATTATGTTTGAAAATACAAAACAGCCACATCATTTTAGTCAGGATGAGCAGCTCAGTTATTTCGCAATACACTAAAACAGCATTTTTTAATGTTTCATTCATGTTCTTTTTTTATTCGTCATAGAACGACCCCACCTAAAAATGTACGAGAACTTTACGCACTGGGAATTATCAGCCTGTTTCCTTCTCTCAAAGATCCTTTCTCTCAAAACGGCTATGTAAGTATTCACATATTGCAGTGCGACTGCATGACTCAGCCGCTGCGTCTTTGAGTGCCCCGAGCTCATCAGTGTTCATGGCCTGAATTAAGGTGGCTGTATCCTTCTGACAAATTTGATGGAATCGGTGTCGTATCACGAAAACGTATGACCTTTAATCACCGCAGGGTCCCCAATTCAAACTTTTTCGTTTCTTCTGATCCCACCTACTGCCTATGATTGGTTGACATAATGTGATGCCACAGGGTTGGTCAGCAGGACTAATTATGCAGCTACCAGCATGCTTTGCACCACACCAAGTGTATCTTTAAATACTGTAAATTAATATGTATATTGGTCTATTCATGCTGATAGTAAATATTGTAACTGTAATGTTTGCCGTGGAATGCATGTGCTTCGTTAGTGTGTAACTGTGGCGGTTATTTAAATTGTTGGCTGCCCTGTCTCTGCCGCCGCTAGTATTAAACCAGTAGTGGTTGTTAATGAAGAGAATAGCTTCCATTTCAAATGAGCTGTCATCTCCTTTATTAAAATGACTCATGCACCCGCCACAATACCACATTTATTTACGTTTATATGTGGGTCTGCTGCATCGGCAACATTCTGCGCCCTCTAGGGGTGCGTGTGTGCACTTGCGCCCTGCGATGGACTGGCATCCCCTCTAGGCTGCACCCCAGCCTTGTGTGTACATACTTGGCTGCTTGTTCCTGCGCATGAATGCTGGCACATGGCCTCCATTGCAGGAGCACTTCTACGATGGCCGAAGCGGGACAGGGTACCTGGCCTGGCGGCTAAAGACCGTCCAGCGGAAGGGCTTCCACCGGAACCGGGGCTCACAGAAGAGTGTGGTGAGCAGGGGCCCGGACTTCGTGAGGCAGACGCAGCCCGGCAAGCAGCTTCACGGCGAGTGCCTCCAGCAGGCCGTCTCCGCTCTGACCCGCTGCACCGACAGGGAGCAGGTCTTCCTCAAGATGCGGGAGACCTTCCAGTACCGGCAGCAACTGGTCCACGACCCGCAGAAGGCCGGTACCGTGCTGTCCACCTTCCCGCGCCTACTGGACACCAAGGGCCTGGTAAGTCTCAGGATTCTTCTGCCTTTGGATCATGATTCTGCCTGTAGTTGGTTTAGGTTTATCCTGAACAGCACTAACTGACCTATCAAAGCCAAGAAGAAAAGAACAGTGAAGTAAATGAGATTAACTTGTTAAGCATTTTGATATTTCAACCCCTGTATTAGCTTAGTCATATCATCTTGTTTGTTTGA